TCACAAATTTTTCCCCATTTTTTTCCCAATTTTCCCCATTTTTTCCCAAATTTTTCCACATTTTTCCCCATTTTTTCCCGTTTTTTCCCATTTTTTTCCCATTTTTCCCAAATTTTTCCCCATTTTTCCCAATTTTTCCCCATTTTTTCCCATTTTTTTCCCATTTTTTCCCATTTTTTCCCCATTTTTTCCCACTTTGCCCTTTCTTTTCCCACTTTTCCCAAATTTTTCCCCATTTTTTTCCCACTTTTCCCAAATTTTTCCCCATTTTTTTCCCATTTTTCCCAAATTTTTCCCCATTTTTTCCCCATTTTTCCCAAATTTTTCCCCATTTTTTCCCAAATTTTTCCCCGTTTTTCCCATTTTTTTCCCATTTTTCTCCATTTTTCCCCGTTTTTCCCAAATTTTTCCCCATTTTTCCCAAATTTTTCCCCGTTTTTCCCAAATTTTTCCCCATTTTTTCCCCATTTTTTCCCCATTTTCCCCAATTTTTCCCCATTTTTTCCTATTTTTTTCCCATTTTTCCCCATTTTTTCCCTATTTTTTCCCATTTTTCCCAAATTTTTCCCCATTTTTTTCCCTTTTTTTCCCATTTTTTTCCCATTTTTTCCCCATTTTTTCCCACTTTGCCCTTTCTTTTCCCATTTTTCACAAATTTTTCCCCATTTTTTTCCCAATTTTCCCCATTTTTTCCCAAATTTTTCCACATTTTTCCCCATTTTTTCCCATTTTTCCCAAATTTTTCCCCATTTTTTTCCCATTTTTTTCCCATTTTTCCCCATTTTTTCCCCATTTTTTCCCCATTTTCCCCCATTTTTCCCCATTTTTTCCTATTTTTTTCCCATTTTTCCCCATTTTTTCCCATTTTTCCCAAATTTTCCCCATTTTTTCCCATTTTTTTCCCATTTTTCCCAAATTTTTCCCCATTTTTTTCCCAATTTATCCCCATTTTTCCCAATTTTTCCCCATTTTTCCCAATTTTTCCCCATTTTTTCCCATTTTTTTCCCATTTTTCCCAAATTTTTCCCCATTTTTTCCCAATTTTTTTCCCATTTTTCCCAAATTTTTCCCCATTTTTCCACCATTTTTCCCCGTTTTTTCCCATTTTTTTCCCATTTTTTCCCATTTTTTCCCCATTTTTCCCAAATTTTTCCCCATTTTTCCCCATTTTTTCCCCATTTTCCCCAATTTTTCCCCATTTTTTTCCCATTTTTCCCAAATTTTTCCCCAATTTTTCCCATTTTTTTCCCATTTTTCTCCATTTTTCCCAAATTTTTCCCCATTTTTTCCCCATTTTTTCCCAATTTTTCCCATTTTTCCCCATTTTTTCCCATTTTTTCCCAATTTTTCCCCATTTTTTTCCCAGTTTTTTCCCCATTTTTCCCAAATTTTTCCCCATTTTTTCCCCATTTTTTCCCAATTTTTCCCATTTTTCCCCATTTTTTTCCCATTTTTCCCAAATTTTTCCCCATTTTTTTCCCAATTTTTTTCCCATTTTTTCCAAATTTTTCCCCATTTTTTCTCATTTTTCCCAAATTTTTCCCCATTATTTCCCATTTTTTTTCCCCATTTTTCCCAAATTTTTCCCCATTTCTCCCCATTTTTCCCCCTTTTTCCCCCATTTTTCCCCATTTTCCCCCATTTTCCCCCATTTTTTCCCCATTTTTCCCCATTTTTTCCCCATTTCTCCCCATTTCTCCCCATTTTTCCCCATTTTTCCCCATTT